CAAGTGGATCAAACGAGCAGAGGAGACAATGCAGAAACAAGCCCAAGAAAGTTAAGCTAGTTTGTCTTTGACAAAGAGGCCAAAAAGAAACCCTGGAGAAAAAGATGCCCTCTTTAATAAATGGTACTAGGAAACTGGTTGTCCATATGCAGAAGATTGAATCTAGACTCGTATCTTTCATCATGTACTAAACTAAAACCAAAATGGAGCAAAGATCTAAAGGTTAACACAGAAACAATCTGCTGGACAATGAAATAGGTAAAATTCTTGAAGACATAAACACAGGCAAAGACTTTATAAACAAACTCCAATTACACAAGAAATAACATCTAGAATCAACAAATGGGCACAGCAATGGAAACAACCAACAGAGTGAAGAGACAACCTACAGAACGGAAAAAATTTTGCCAGCTGTTCTTAGAGAGAGGACTAATACCTAAAATATATAAAGAATCCCTCAAAATTAGATCTCCCAATAAAAGACCCAATCAGCACATGGGCAATTGAAATACAGAGTGACTTTTCAGAAGCAGCTCATGTGGCAAATGAATATGTGAAGAAATACTCGGCATCACTGGCTGTGTGCAGACCCTACTGGAAGAGTGCATATGAATGAAAGAGGAAAGGGTCTTGGTGTAAAAGCTCCAGTGGCTCCTGGGATGCGAGGTTAAAGACTAGAGCAGATTTGCAGAGTGAATAAGCTGAGCAGAATCAACAAGTCATTTTTAAATAAATTTGTCCTGGGGTTATATTCCTTTTGCCCCAGTAAGATTGCTTAAACTAAGTCAACATGTGTCATGTTGCAAGCCCTCCTGTTTTTTCTCTGTCCCTTGACCAAAACTCTATACGCCTAATGTTGCAAATGTTTTTTGTCCTGCATCTTTGTTCTTATGCCCTTAATTATAAATAAATAGCTGCAGGGGTCTCTGCTTGGGCTGGTTCCCCCCCGCCAGGCTTTCTCTGATAAGTCTCAGTAAAGCAGCCCCTCCGAGCCTCTTGATGTTCGAACCAAGTCTCGTCTTCAAGTAGTCTTTCATCCTCTGCACTGCCACAGGTGCACACTGACAGCTGGCCACGAGACAAATGCAAACTAAAACAACACTGAGATTTCATCTTACCCGCAGAAAGAAGGGCTGTCACCAAGAAATCAAACCATAACAAATGCTGGTGAGACGACAAGGGAAAGCAGAACCCTTCTATATTGTTAGTGGAAATGTAAACGAGTACAACCACTATGGAAATCAGCATGAAGATTCTACACATAGAAATTTCACTTGACCCAGCTATGCCCAAAATGTTTCTAGGTATTGCCCCAAAAGAGCAAAAGACATTCTACTTCAGTGACACAAGAATGGCAGCACAACCAATAACAGCTAAATCTTGATAGTGGCGTAAGTATCTATCAACAGATGGATAAAGGGAAAGTGGCATTTATATACAATGGAAGACCACAAATGGGGCACCTTGAAAGCGTACGGTTAAGTGATATAAATCAGACACACAAACTTAAATATTGCATGGTTTCTTTTAAATGAGAGAACCAAAACTTAAGTAAAGAAAAAAATAAAAGACAGATGACAGAAAATAAGGAGCTAGAGCTTTTGCAAACAGGAAGGAAACCAAGAGATGCTAGAAAGTATAGCAAAGAGAGGGAAAGAAAAGAAAAAAAACTGAAATGTGCTACATACCATGTACCAACTCTCCACAAGGAATGTGATCATTATGTATGGTAGACATGTGCTAATAAAAAATAAAAATTTAAAAACATTAAAGAAAAATAAAATATTAAAAATAAAATAGAGAAATAATTTTTTACACTTTGCAGTACAGTTTCCTCACAAAACAGGAAACAATAGGCATCAAGGAATATTAATATACTATTGCATAATAAGAAATAAAATTGGTATAATGACTTACAGGGATATGTAAAAAGATGTGTGGACATATCCTAAAGTCTATATGAGGGTTTGTGTAAATGTAACATTCATGATCATGACTTAAAAACATCTTTCCACGTGGAACATTTGCAATAGTATGTGTAAGTATATGCATATGCTCATGCATGTACACATAATTATACACCTTACCTACACACACACTAAAGATGAAGATATCATGGACTAGAAACAAAGAGAAATATAAATTAATAATGATTTAAAGCAGGCACCAGGTAATGGTGCCTAAAAATGTCCTCCTTAAGGAAGCAAGCCAGAGCTGTATGTAAGGCTTAAAAATTCAGGCTGGGGGTGAAGTTCTTGCACTTAAGAGAGAATGTCAAAAGTAGCTGTGCCCAACGCCTGTCACTACCACTATACAAAACCCACATCTAAGGGCCGGAGTAACAGCTTCAGAAATAGGCCCCGAGCAAAGTCCTGACTTGATCCATGACTGGACCTAAAATATACTTACAATCACTGTCAGGGGAGAATCCCAAGAAAGTGACATCAGACATGGTCCCAACCTGGATGCCACAGAGGGGCCTGCTAGAGACAGTCATAGAACCTGACTGCAACGAGGGTGATAAATCTTCCCACTAAAAATGAACTTTCAAGGCAACGTTCCAAAATATAGGAAGAAACAAGCATAAAAACAGCCTCCTCCAGAATTAAAATGTGGCAGGTGAATCTGTTTGAGAAAATATGAAAGCAAAATAATAATCTAAAGGTACCTTTAAAATGGATAGACACGGTTAGTAAACATACATAGAATTTCCCTTGCTAAATGACAGCGTGAGGATCTCTGTATACCGTCTCACCCGGGAAACAAAAATAAAGAGTGAAAACTTTTAGAAACTCATTTGATCTCTGCAGAGGTTTCCTGAGGGAATCTAACAGGCGATGAAACATTTATTCCAAAAGTAGATTAAACTGAATAACATTCAGTAAGGACGCAAGTCCACGGCTCTTGAGTTATGACCTGCTCTCTTTTTCCTCCCCCACAATCCACTTTTATGAAGGCGCCACTTAAGGCATGGTCAAGAATGTAAGGTTTCACTACCCTCAGCAACAAATCAAGACATACCACATCTTATTAGATCACTAGAACTTTTCATCCCCAGCTTGGAGTTACGTTGGAATCCTCATTTAACAGTAACAGTAGAAATAGAGATTTTTGACCCGAAGCAAATAAGAAGCTGGTAGTCCTTCTTTATCAAAGTCAACAAGTTGGGTCATCATGTACCACAGAGAACCTTGGAAAGAAATACTGAAAAAGTTTCCTGCTGGGTTAAAAAGATACTCCAATAGCACCTTAAATGCTACCTCTTACTCATTTAATTGGATCACACTGTGGATCCTGAAGGCATTCTCCAAGACAAAGTAATTATCTTCCAGTAGTAGAACTAAAATCTTGAATGTGCACCAAAATAAACAATCATAAGAAGAGACAAAAACAGCCTTTAAAACAGTTTATCTTAGACATGTAGTGGTGAACCATAATCAGTATAGGATAGCAATAAACAGAAATCATGCTTAAAAATGCAATAGAAAATTCAGAATTTAAATGTACAATAACTGAAATGAAAAATTTACTAGAAAGACTGATAATACCTTTGAACTTGCAGAAAAATTTGTGAATTTAAAGAGGGCTCAAGTGAAACATGCAATGCAAAGAACACAAAGCAAAAAGAAGGTAGAAAAATGAAGAGATTCTCAGAGGAACACAGGACATCATTAAGCACACCAATCAGAAATAGAGAGAGAAAGAGGCAGGGAAAACTGTTCAAGTAAACAATGTCTATAAACTCCCCAAATCTGATTGAAAACATTAAACATTTAAGGGTATCAACTCCCAGTAGGAAAAACACAAAGAGATCTACATCTTGAGATATCATCATAAAAACACCACAAAAGAAAAACAGAGATTAAATATTGAAAGTAGCAAGAAAAAGACGGCTAATCATGTTAAAGGGTGTCCCTATAAAATTAACATTGACTTCTCATTAGAAATAACGAAGGACAGAAAGCAGTGGGATGACATTCAAAGGGCCAAAACAAAAGCTATGATGCAAAATTGTATCCCCAGAAAAACTATCTTTCCAAAATGAAGGGAACTCTGCCACTCGGAGGCCCAGTTTCCAAAAAGGCTCCACACTCTGCTCCTCAGAGATAGAGCTGAAGATGTGCACTACTTCCTTGGCTAACGGTATCCTGCCACGTTAGTGTGAGTTCACAATGCTACAACCATGGCAAAAAACTTAGGAGTACCACACAGCCCCTGCTGCTTCCAAAACAAAGTCCCTAGTTCAGCGCATCTGTTATGGTCTGAGTGCTTGTATTCCTCCAAAATTTATATGCTGCAACCCTAACCCATAAGGTGATGGTATTAAGACACGGGGCCATGGAGAGGTGGTCAGGTATGGTGATTCTAGGACTTGCCCCTGTAAAGGCCCAAGGAAGTATGTTTGCTCTTTGTGCTTAGGTGCAACCAGGAGAGGACCCAGCAAGAAGGGATCATTTACAAGTCAGGAAACTGACCTTCACCGTATCTAAATATGCTGGCTCCTTTCTTTTGGATTGCATATTCTCCAGAACTATGAGAAATAAATTTGCAGCTGTTGAGAAGCCATCCAGCCTGCCGTATTTGTTACAAGAGGTTACACTAAAGCACCCAACCCGCTGACACTCTCTGACAACCTTCATCTCCCACCGCTTCTCACCGATGAGCCTGCAGAGCTGTTTATTCCTGTAACTGCCTCTTTTACTTCACTTTCTACATCCCCTCTTCTCACTTTTCAGCCAATCCAAACACTACATTTCTTGTAGAGCTCATCAAAAGGTACTTTCTTCCTCCGCTCCCCTCTGAACTCTTCTGACAATTCCCGTTGTGTCATGTAAGCAGCACTGTCTGAAACCTGTCCTGGGATGTGCATCTGGGTGCCAGAGCATAGGCACCACAGTTTATTCCCTTATTATACACACAGTTTTCGTACTAGGAAAACAAGTGTCCCGTGGGCATTCTCAGTTTGTATGACCTGTAAGTCGGTGTGTGAAATTTCATACCTGTCTTCCAGCATCAACTGATGTGATGGGCAATTCATCATCTCTATCAGCATACCCACAATCGTCCTCTTCCTTTGCAAGCGGGGCCAGACCAATCTCCTCAGGCGAGGTCTTCCATGCAGAGGCGAGTGCCTCTAACTCCAGCTGGGGCTCTGACCGCCCTTTCATCTCTGTGACCTGGGGAATGGTGTCTCTGCTGTCTGCAGCTGAGCCTCCTGTCGTCTCTTTTTGCTTTGGTAACTTTTGTCGCTTGAACCGCTTGCGGCAGAAATTCAGAAGAGTATGAATCACAAAATAAAAAGCCCGGCGAAAGCGATCCAGCGCTAACTGGACTTTGGTTTTTTTGGCCTCTCCTAGGTTTCCATTTCTCTCCTCGTTGCTGAAGGAATTGAGCAGTAAAGCAATGAAGAGGTTGAGCACCTGGAGATCAGATGGGTAACAGGAGAACGCAGATTACAGCAAAGGAAACGCACAGTCAGAGAATTTCCAGAATAGCTTTTCACAGGACTCAAAATAGAGTCAACTGAGAATTCTATGTCTGTTATCTCTCAAGAAAATTCACCTATAAAACAGTCGAGGAAGAAAGAAAGATAGTAAGACAAAAGAAAAGCTGAAGTCAAAGGATGCAAACAGTCAAATCCAGCTCATGCAAATATAAATAACAAGTATCTGTACAGCCGGGCAAAGGGTTTTGTTTCCTGCTTATCATACTTTCCTCAAACGAAATTCAAAGGAAGAATTTAAAAACTTACTTGATACTACGTTTAGAATAAACCCTTTAGTAGCAAACTATTGTAAAAGAAGCCAATGCATTTGAGAAGACATTTTTTCTTTTAAAAAATTAAGAAACTCACCACAAGTTTTCCTATCACCATAATCAACACGAAGACGAGAACACACAGAGGTATGCTAACTTCTTGCATGCATTCCCACATGGTTTCGATCCACTCCCCACACAGAATGCGGAACACCACCAGGAAGGAATGGTAGAAATCTCCCATGTGCCAGCGACGGTAGCAGGACTTCTTACTAGCGTTACAAAACTTCAGATTCCGTACGGAGCAGAATTTATGGCCAAAAAGCTGCATGCCAACCACTGAGAAAATAAAGAGCACGATGGCTAGCACCACAGTCAAGTTTCCAAGGGCTCCAACAGAGTGGCCAATTATCTTAATCAGGGTGTTTAAGGTTGGCCAGGACTTGGCTAACTTGAAGACCCTCAGCTGAAAAGGAGACAAAAACAAACATGAAAGAAGCTCGTTAAGGACAAACTCAGTATGTTCATCTACAAAGCAAATGACACAGTCCTAAGCCACAGCACTTAAATCTCTTTCCAAAGTCCAAACCATCCTGAGCACGGTCACCAACTATCTACAGCAATCTAATACTCACCAGCAGCCAGTTCTTATTTAAACAGGAAAATATTCTGTTGTAATTTTTAATGAGAAAGGTGTTCAGGATGGTGGCTGAGAACATGTGTTAATTATCTAAAATGATGCTTTGACAGTCTGTGTCATATACCAGATGTCAGCAAACTCAGGGCCATGGGCTAAATTCAGCCTGCTGAGTTTCTATGTGTTGTGAGAAGAATTTGTTTACATTTTAAATGATGAAAAATAAAAATAATCCAAAGAAAGCTATTTCATGACACATGGCGTTCATATGAAGTTCATACTTGAACATCCATTAATAAAGTGCTATTGGAGCATAGACATGTTCATTTGAATGCTAATGGTTACTGTGGTGCTATGATAGTAAAGTACAATGGTTTTTGTTTTGTTTTGTTTTATTTTGTACTGAGGATTGAACTCAGGACCTTACGCTTGCCAGGCAGGCACTTATGCCGCTGAGCTAAATCCCCAACCTGTAATGGTTTTTTTAATATGAGACTACATGGCCTGGAAGGCAGAAGATACCTATCATCTGGTCCATTTACAAAAATAGTCTGCTACCTCCTGCATTATGCATTTCAGACTACAAGTCTGAATTAAACCTTAAACAATAATGAGACTGATGCGACATTGTATACCCATGAGAACCAAGGTGAGCAGCTACTCCAGACAGGTATACTTTTTCCAAAGAGAAATATTCTCCATGGAGCTTCACATACTATCAAGGAAATAACCTTAGAGAAAACACAGCAACTATTTTCATGAGTTATTTATTTACTATATTAAATTTTAATGTAGACTGGTAGCTTCATACCAAAAAGCAAGCCTGTTAAGAATCAACCATTTGGGGTTGGAAATATTGCATACCAGGAAAACTTACGCTTGGAGAAGGACTACTATTATCTACTCAGAGGGGCATTGCTGCATCCCAGCAAGAAATTGTGATTCTATCTTGACATATTAGCACTGCCATAAAATTCCTTATATCAGAGCATGCCTATGACAAGCCATGAAGCAGTGATGAAGCAGACATAACTTCACTGAACATCAGTAAATGTCAGTAGAACAAACTAATAATGCCTGACTTTGAGCAGTGTAGCCTTTCAATATACCATAAGAATAAAAGTGTAAAGTATACTCTTTTATAACTGTATCCAGGGTCTCCCTAGCAGTTTAGAAATCCTTCCCTCTCCAAAAAAAGAAGTAATTTTTAAAAGGAGAGAGGGCCACTGCTATAGTGTTACAGCATTTAATGTACTTATGGGTGGGGCGTTTCAAAAGTGGCTTACTTAGGGTATAGGAATGTGGATTAATAGTGTGACTGGGATCAAGGATGTGGATAATGGAAATTTCATCCTGAGCATGAGTGGAACCAATCAATAGGCTTATAGCCTGGACGGAACATAAAGGGAGACAGAGAAGACTTGCTGCTGCTCACCTCCTTCTACCTCCCATGCCATGAATTATTTCTCCTCTGTAACACCCCTCTGCCATGTGGCTCTGCCTTGGAGCCAGCTGATTATAGACTGAAATCTCTCAAACTGTTCATTGAAATAAACTTTTCCTCCTTTAACTTGTGCGTGTCAGGTATTTTGTCCCAGCAATGAGAAAAGTAACTAAGACGGATTGTGGTACCAGAGAACTGGGGTCGTTGTTGTGACACTACCTGGCCATATGGTTCAGAAGCATTTGGAATTGGGTTGGGAAGATTCAGAGATGCTGGCTAATGAAAAGACCTAGACTGCTATAACTGAACTTGAGGGGAGAGTCTTGTCAGGGTTCAGAAGACTAGAATGCTGACAGAAATGCAGCCTGTAAAGATAAGGCTCAGGATGTTTCTGTTGGGAAGAAGGGCTGCACTGGCAGTTTGACTCTAGGCCGTGTGTGTTATGCTTTGACAGAAAATTTGTCTGCCTTTTACTTATGTCCAGAGACTTCGTCTGAGACTGAAATTAAGAGCAGTGGACTACTTAATCTTGGAAAAGAAATTTCAAGGCAGTCTAGTGTTGAGGTGGTAGCATGGCGACTGTTGGGAGCTTTTAACTAGATCTATTAATACATCATATATCAGAATGATGCAACACACTGAGTTTCGCCAAAAGCTCTGATGGCAAAGAAGGATCAGAGAAGAACTTGGTTATTGAGAAGGAAGAAGACAGTAGAAAAGATGGCCAGAGGACATAAGAACTAGCAGGACTCCATCCTTTGCATCCTCAAATTTACATGTGGAATTTTTATATGGAAGACTTTCCTTTGAGAAGAGAGCCCCAGAGCATCATGTTCCAGAATGGTGGCAGCCTAGAGAATTTGTTCCTTGAGATTCGGTTCATAGTGTTCAGCAATCAAGGCACTCGATGGTCACAGCCAAGAGACAAAAAAACCTGGCTACTGTTCCAGCTGGCAGCAGATCTTGGCATTACCCATGTGATGCCAGATTGAGGAACATGCAGAATGCAGGAGTTAGGGTGTCAGGAAGGCTTCCACCTAGGTTTCAAAAGGGAGGCAGGTATGTGCCCCCTGAAAGGACAACGTGTGAAGCTGAGTGTGAAGTCAACAGTGAAGTGGAAAACCCAGAGGTTGGAGAAACCAGCAACACAGATTGTCTGGAGAAAGCTGTAAGGAGTGAGCAAAGCCAGCCCAAGAGAGAAGACAGTTCCAATTTCAAGAAAATAATGCATCCCCTGCAACCCTGGCTAATACTCTTATTTCTTTGAGGGTACATCTGTAAATGTCTGCCTGATAAATTCCTTTATGTCCCTTACCAGGAAAGTCTGTGTTATTAAATAGAAAGGCAAAACAAGACATCTCCTTGTTGCCAACTATTCATAATACAGAAATGATAGAACTTGAAAGAAGAAATGAAACTTTAAAAATAACTAGTGGTCAATGATTATAATAATTCAATGGGTGGTGTTAACAGAGTTGACCAGCATCTAGCCAGAAACAACAAAAAAGCAAGAAAAATATTACTACAAAATATCTATGCACTTTCTGGACCACACAAGGTGGAACTTGTTTGTTATTTATTCAAAACACGGGGATTCAAAAAGTCATTTATGATTTAGATTAGGTCTAATCCAGGATAGTGAAATCCCAACCATCACTGATGTCCATCATTGATGTCTTCACCATTATATTTGGTGGACATTTTATTGAAATTATATCACCCACAGAGAAGAAGGAAAGGCCAAAATAACAGTGTAAATAGTGTTTCTCAAAGAAAGACAATAATTCAAAAAGAATTCAGAAAGAGACCAGATACTTGTAACACTGTATTGTGTGCTGAAAGTTTTAAGATACACCACACAGAGAAAATTATTAAATTTAAAAACACTGTCATTTTATATTTCTTGTTATCTTATGAAAATTAACAAAAAAATTTCAATTTATGGTCATCCTATTCATAAATAATTGGACTGGTAAGTGGTTAAAGAGGCCTCCAAGGAAATTGAAATCACTGATGATGCTGGCCCCAGATGTCCACCTGTCTTTCAAGGCGATACGGGTCTCTCCCACCTGTTTAGTGCAAACAACCATCCTGGACACTGGGAGTTCTCCTCAGCCTCCTCCTCAAGAGTCTCAGGCCAGTGAATCATCCCGAAGCACAGAGCACAGCCACCATTAAGCCCTGACCGCTGTGCTCTCTTCTGCAGTGGTCTGCTCGCACTCCACAGAGAGCACTTCTTTCCCTGCTTTAATGGCCTGTGCTCACTCTGCAGACCGTGTTTGCCCACCTTGAATAAATGTAAAACCTCACCACTCTTGTCATCTGTCTTGCCCAATTTTTGTTTAGAACAAAGAGCCTCACTCCAGTTAACATGGCTATTATAAAAGACAAATAAAAGGTGCTGGTGAGTGTGGAGGAAAGAGAGTTCCTGCACAGTGTTGTTGGGACTGTACATTAGTGCAGTTATGGCAAACAGCATGGAGGTTCCCAAAATATTAAAAACAGCACTACCATATGATCCAGCAGTCTCGCTCCTGGAGATAGATCCAAAGGGAATGAAATCAGTGTGCTGAAATGATCTCTGCAGTCTCATTTACTACAGCGCTATACCCAAAAACCAGTGGATGGACACACAGAGAAACTCAAGTGCCTATTAACTGATGAATAGGTTAAAAGATGTGATTATAGTGCCTGTGCACACACACACATATACACAGAGGGAGGCACTCTTCATCCACAAGAACATGAAAGTCTCCTTTATGTAATATCATAGAAGTAAGTTAAGGTCATTAAAAGAGAAGTAAACCAGGTACAGAAAAAAATGTTATATGATCTCACTTATATGAAGTATTTTAAGAAGCTGATCTCATAGAAGTATGGAGTAGAATGGTGGGCACCAGGTCAAGGAGAGAAGAGGGGAGGAGATTATGGAAAGCAGTCAGGAAAAGTTTGGCAGCAGATATAAATTCTAGAAGGAATGAGTCCTGGTGTTTGAGTTCACGGTAGTATGTCTCTATAACATACCATATCACCAAAAAGGATAGAAGAAGGAACTTTGAGTGATTTCACCATAAAAAACAATGAGTGTGTGAAGAGACAGATGTGCTTGCCCTGATTTGAACATTACATAGAGTAACATGCACCAAAACATCACATGATACCCCAAAAATATGCACAATTTTTATGAGTCAGTGAAAAATAAAAATTTTAAAAAGAATAAAACATAAGAGGCTGGGGATTTAGCTCAGCGGCATAAGCACCTGCCTTGCAAGCAGGCGGTCGTGAGTTCGATCCCTGGTACCGATAAAAACAAAAAAGACAAAAAAAAAAAAAAAAAAGAATAAAACATAAGAAATAAATAACCTTTGAGGCTGAGATATAATAACAATATTTTGTATATAAGGAGGATATCAGTTTGGGAGGAGCTTAGACTCAGAGTTTGAATGTTCCCTCCAAAACATGTTTCCCATATGAAATTAAGTTGTTGCCATTGTCAAAATGCCCATATTACAAAGATAATATATGCATCTAATACAATTCCAATAAAAAATATGGTTAGCATTCTTCACAAAATCTCTTAAAATTTGTAAGGAACCAAAGAGACCCAGAGTAATCAAAGTGATTCTGAGCAAAAAGAGCAAAGCAATAAGCACTACAATCCTGGGTTTTCAAATTACACTACAAAACTACAGTAATAAAAACAGCATAGTGCTGGCACACAAAAAGGCATGCTGACCAACCGCAGAGAATTGAGGATGAAGAAACAACTACCTGCACATTCAGACATTTGATCTTTGACAAAGTAAGCAAAAACATGCTGGAGAAATGTAGCGGCTAGACCTGTATGTCTCACCCTGCACTAAAATAAAATCAAAATAGATCAAAGGTCTGGATATAAAAACAGAAACACTGAATCTACTAGAAGATAAAACAGACAGACGTGAAGACACAGGCATGGGCAAGGGCTAACTGAACAGGACCCCAGGAGCTCACAAATAACATCAAGAATTTACAAATCATTTGAGGTATGATAGAAGAAATAAAAGATACATAGAAATTAGACAAGGAAATTGTAAGTACAACTTGTACTTTTAAGAACTCTGCAACTTTCAGGACCATCCAAAGTTACCCAAGGTGATCTAAGTCAGCATCACTTTGGTTAAATTTAGACTCCTCCCACATCAGACCCGTATCCTACAAAAATCCTCAGGACTCTTCAGGACAGGAAAGTCGTAAATAGGCTTAGATGAGAAAGTAAAGACCAGGAACCATTCTAACCTAACGGAGCATGTTGAGAGACTCCAAGGAGTGTTTTAATGCATCAAAACAACAACAGTCCAGGGGTGCTATCTCTTGGTGAGCCAGTGGCAAAAGGTAAAAAGAGGTATTAGGACCTGGACTTTGGTAAGTCCATTCAAAAGGCTTTTTATTTTCTTCCCCACTTCCTCAACCCCTCGTCCTCTGACATGTAGTTTATCTCCTTTTTCTTCCCTTGTCTCTCTCCCTGTCTATAAGCTTCTGTAGACTTGGGTTTTTCCTTTCCAGCAGTTAGAGACTCCCAAGTCCCTAGAAAACGAGCTCTTGTATACGAAAGCATTAAAGACAAAAGCCATTTGCTCCTCTAACTAGAAATGAGAAGAGGTGTCAAGAGGTCTCCTTTGTGATGTGTGGGAGCCTCATCGTTCTCCATCAGACCGACACACGCTGTTCCTGGGTCGGATGAAACTGAAACGTGCTCTCCAGGAAGACACGGCTGGTATCCAGTTGCCTATGGCCCATCTTGCTGGGGACACGGTGTAGGGGTCCATTTGGAAGAAGAATTTCTGAGACTCTCAAGGCTACTGAAGACTTGAGTGGGAGGAAAGGAGTGCAAATTTCATCCTGCAGCTACGATGAATTAAGGTTTAGTCCAAGATAGTCACCGAACGCATGCAGGATCGCTGGTAGGCAGTGAAATGAGAAAGGGCCTTACCACTCTGAAGGAACGCAGAAATACCCACTTGTCAGTGATGGCTTCTGTAAGGCTCACAATAGCAACAACGCTGTCGAAAATGTTCCAGCCGTGGCGAAAGTAGTGGTAGGGGTCGAGCGCAATGATTTTTAGGCACATTTCTGCGATGAAAATGCCAGTGAAAACCTACAGCAGGACAAAAAGAGAACATGAGCAAAGAAAACTATCTTTCTCGAGAGTAAAACCTTAAGGATATTCTCAGGGAATCAGGCCACAAGGGAATGAAAAGCGCTTTGGCTGCTGATACAATCTCAAGTCCCTGCGCTAGGAACACTGTTGTAACAACAGCGCACTCTGCCTTCCCTGTCCTGGTCCTCTCCACAGTACCCAGGCCAGTGCTACTGTGCACCAAGCTCTCGGATGTCACAACGGCAGAACGGAAAAGGAGCATCACTTTCCATTCTGTTGAAAGTAAGGCAAAATCGGCTTCTTGGTAGTTAAAGGGTTGATGGGACAATGCGGCAGTTCCTCCACTAACCTCCAAAACGTAGAAGCAGTGGAAGGCGAGTAACGGCCCAGGGACTAAGGATAAACACCCTCCATCAAAAAGAATCCAGCAGTTAACCACAGTCTGAAGACACTCTGGTGACATTTTTAGTCTGTTAATCCATTCACTAATTAAGGGAGAGCATACAGTGGGGCTAATTTAGTTTTTTTGACATCTGGGAGACCAATATTTACTCAAGAAAAATATCTTCCATGGGAACAAGACTTAAAGTGAACCATTCTTGAAAATGACAGATGGTGACAGCCAACTCAGTAAAGGGGTCCGTCATCACAATTCTCAGGGCCTTCTTAATGCGCAGCCACTTGGGGCTAACATAGTTCTCTCAGTTTAACTGAACAAAGGTTCATCCAATGAGAAACTTACTATGGAGGCCTGAGTCTGAAGTCCAGGCCCTTCTCAGCCTGAATACTCCGCAGAGTCCCCGCCCCAGGACAGCAGACCTGCCGCAGCTGCCAGGCCTGACTCACCTCCCGGGAGAATACCCCGGAATGTCAGTCACACTGTTTCCTGATAAATGGTGCCATCAGCATCACTGGGGACCATGGTAGGTTTTACTCTGGGTCTTCAGACAGGGTTAACATTTTGCTGATCAACTGAATATTTACTATTTCTACTCAGGCCTACCACGGATGACTGAAGAGACGCTTTTATGTAGTAGACAGGGCCCGTGGAACATAGGGCCCATGGAAAACTTCCGAGATGAACAAGGTTAAAAAAAATTCCTAAATGTCATCTTTTTCTCTCTATGCCACTTACAGAGACCAAAGGCCTAGTTTAGAGTAGATCATTTACAAAATGTTTAGACTCTAGAAGACTTATAATTCAAAGTTTGGGATATGCTTTATACTTTGCAAAGGTTACCCAATTCCCCGTTTTCAGCATTTTCTTAAAATCTTCATCCATTTGATGATGCTCCATAGATAAAAAGATAGTGTTGATTATAATGCAGATGGTGACAGCCAACTCAGTAAAGGGGTCCGCCATCACAATTCTCAGGGCCTTCTTAATGCGCAGCCACTTGGGGCTACAGTTCCATATAAGGTATTTGGATGCCAAGTTTTCCCCACATGCGAGACAAGGCTGCTGTTGCTTTTCTTGTTCTGAAGAAGGAGAATGAGAAGGAGAGGTTGAGGAATTAACTCTAACTTGGCCTGGCTGCTCCTTGGCCGAGTATGTTCTTACTCCCTCTTCTTTCCCCCAGAGGTTCTTGTGATCAATGATCAGTCAAACTGATTTGTGTAGCCAGAAGGAGTTGCCTGCCAATATCAGTATAAAAGACACAGTTTCCCCAGACAACTAGCACTGTTATAGTCAAGTACAGCATCTTTGTACTTTAAACATTGAGGAATTGGGCCACACTGTTAGAGACGCAGATGCAGAAGTCAACACTGTGAGCCCATGAGACAGTGACACACAGGCACGAGCCACGCCTTCGCAAGACAGACCGTGGTGATGACCTAATAGAGAAATGGGGCTCTCCCAGTGCTTGCGGGGAGCAAAGATAGTCAGGCAAGTGTAATTGAATGCGATAAAAGGCATCCCATCAGTTACGTGAGTTCAGGTCATTAAGCAGCTGTACCCCGATTCCTCTGGCACCATTTCAGGGACTTATGCAAACCAAATAAGGTGATAAAACAGGCTCCAAAATGCTATGGGACCCATGTGAACTGAACAACAGGGTAGGGACTTGAACACCAACGCACTAACTTACTATCTGCTATTATTCAGGATCCAGCTTATCTACATAGGTTTTTTGTTGCCCATGCCACATTCCTAACTCTTAACTTCAATAATAACTGCAGCTTCCTGGAAAGTCTAAATTCTTCTCTGGATGATGCTCTGGTCAGGCAGCCCTCTGGTGACTGCCTTGCCTGCTTATGAGGTTCAGTCTGTGCTCTCAGTCAGAAGTCTTACCCCACATCTAGCCAGTTCCCATCCTTATTCAAGGTCCTGCTCAGAGTGGCACTCAGCTCAGGGAGGGTTCACTTCTTCTAGATCACTTTGGTTACATGCTCTAACGAGGCACAGGAAGTCACTCTTAAGGACAGGAGAGTAGGGGTGGCTCCTACGAGGCCTCCTTTGTGGAGGACTTGTGCAGGGCTAGGGCGGGAAATGGAGAACACTGCTACATGCCACACTTTCCCTTGGACTGGGAGGGGAACTTACCCTGCATGGTGATGGTGATGATGCTGACAGCACTCAGTGCCCTCTGCCTTTGGAAAGGGTCTCCGTGGTCATCAAAGATGTCTACTGGAAGATTCTGAGATAGCCGCTTGGTTTGTTCCAGGAGGGGTGGCTGCAAGGGAAGAGATGGTGGCCTTTCTAAACTACCTTGCCTCAGGGCCACGCAACAACGATGCTCACTGCTTTGTATAGGTCAACTCAGTTTACCTTCACAGCATGCCATGTTCAGTTTTCTTACTCCATGTTTTGGAGACCAGGGAAGTGTGGCTTAGCTTTTTCTTATAGATGCACATTTTTAGAGTCCTATCTAGAAAAAAACTTTCTTTTCCTGTGCTTTACTCATTGTCAACAGAGAGCAAACAAAATTTTACAAAAACCAGTGAACAATAGCTCTTGGTACAAAACTCATCCAAATCTAATTTGGAAGCAATGTTTTCAAAGGGCAGATGTGGGAAATGAATTTAAGAAGCTGATTCCTACATAGGAAAGTATGTTTAAGAGCTGCCTATACAGATTCCACAGCAATTCCTAAAAAGAATTGTCAAACTAAATATTACAAAATCTATACACCAAACCTCAAGTACTCTCTCAGATTATAACTGAAAAGGCTTGCTGACACCTACCTTTTCTATAATTCTAAAATCACTGGGAATTAAGGATGGAAATCATCAGCTGTTCAGGAAACTCAGTATCCAGAATAGTTATCTTCCCAAGGTTCTGACCAACCAGAGCCTGAGACCCAGCTATCTTCCCTGGCCTGTACTGCCAACATTTTCCTTTCCTATGACTTGTGTCTTCATAATTAAAACGTATCTTAGCACCCTCTCCCTTAAGGATAAGAATATCTATTGAACCTCCCCACAGCCTTGTTTCTGCGGATCACATTGTCTGCTCGATATCTCCATTGGGATATCCCACAGGCACCTTGGAACCGACACGTCCAAAACTGAACATGTCATTTTCCCACCCCTCAGACATGTCCTTTCTTGTCTCAGTGAATTACTGCCTATCAAGTTACCTACCTAAGCTTAAGTTAGGCCACAGATCAACTCAAATGCTGAATTTCATCTTACATAGATCATACGGTCTGCTCACCTCTCTTTATCTTCACTGTTCTAAGCTCAGTATAAGCCACTGTCACCTCTTTCTTGGGTAACTGCTGCAACCTCTTCTTTGGTTGTCTCTGGTCTTTCCTCCTACAATTTGTGCTTTACAGTGCATCCAGGATTTCAAAATGCACATGGGGCCACCTCATTCTCTTGCTGAAAACCTCTCAGTGCTTCTTAACTTGGTCCTCACCCTCCAAAGGGTGAACTCCTGTGCTTGTTTTTTGAGGTCTTTTGTGGTGCTCTATATTTTACCACAACAGATTTTTGGCACTTTCCTCTAATCTCACCACACACACAAACACACACGCACACGCACACGCACAGGCACACACACCATGCACACACACATGACTATGCAAGTTTTCTAATGGGTCCTGTTCTGCTTGCCTTTGCTTCAAGGCATCTGTACACACTCTTCTCTTCACTGGTAATGCTCCACTCTTTCTTCTGCCTGTTAAGTTTGCCCATTGGAGAACCAGCAGCAGCTCCTGAGATCCGCACCATGTTGGAACTTAGGACACTGGGAAGCCAAGCAAGAACCTCTCTACCCTGGTAAGTGGTGGCGGTGTGGCAGACTGTGGCCCTTCCAGGGGGAAAATCAGCAACAGCTCCTGAGATCTGTGCCATGTTGGAACTTAGGACGTTGTGAAACCAAACAACCAGCCTGCCTCCCTGCTAAGCAGTAGTGAACGTACTGTTGCACGGCCTAGAGTCAAACGTCCCACTTCCCCTACCCCCCTTCTCCCCCCACCCCCCGTTAGTAAATGGGAACCAGAAATTTGAGCGTCTCCTGGGAGGTCAACCATAGCAAATAAGAGGGACTTCCTTCTACCATCTCTTTGAAGGCAAATATTTTTATTACTGTTTTGCTCTATTCTGATTAATGGTACTGCTCTATTCAATATTCTGTTTTGATAAGCTCTATAATGTTCTGTATTTCATCTCATTTTGATATACGGGATTGAAAGAACAACTATTGTGACGATAACAATAGATGTACTATGGTACCTATTACTATTATCCTGGTAACCTGCTGTGAAGTTCTGTACCAGTTTCACTACCCTGTCTCAGTTGGTCCCCGGCCCTTACATGAGGCTTTCTCTGGTAATCCAAAGCCCTCGGCTCTACTTCACAGCAAGCCAGAAATACAGGAAAATTATGGTTCCCCCGTTTCTAGCATTCTATAACCAACAATTGATCAAAGTCGACATGTAAGTCCAGCTCTGGGGGCACACACCTGTAACCCCAGCACTCAAAAGGCTGAGGCAGAAAGGATCTCAGTGAGTCTGTGGCCAACCTGGACTATGTCATGAGACCGTGTCTCAAAAAACCAAACAAACAAACACTGGTGCACACATACTCTTAAAATCCTCACTCCAGAGGATTAAACCTCAACTACCGTCACCGATAACCAACTTGATAATGAATTTCATTGGCTCCTTCGCTCTCACGTATCACCTCTGCCATCTCAGCGCTTCCTGAGATGACTTCCCAAATGATGTCCTTCGCCTCATGTCTTTGGGTCCACTTCCGAGGGAAGTGACACTGCCCTGCTGCTTGTCCAATGTCTCCACAGTGACCATCACAGTCATTCATAGCTGCCTCCTTATTTGTGCATTTCATCATTAGTTACGGACTTGTGGACTAGGAGCCGCGTTTCTCCAGTGCTGGAGAATCATGGATGCCAGTGCTAAGCAGACAGTAAACACTGCATGCCATTTAAATAGATGTTCATGAAAATGGATAATGGAATACACACATCAATGCATGACTGCGTGTGCAAACAGCAAAATGAGTAAATGCACTCTTTCAGTTAGAGCGTCAAGGGACTTCTTCCTCCAGGCAGCATTATGGTACTACTAATTCCCTGGGCAATACTTACATTTTTTGAGGACTCTTCTTCAGAATCTGATCCTGGAGCTTTGTCTTTCTTAGATCCTCTTAAAAAGAAAGATTTTCTTTTAGTTGTACCAAAAAACTTTTTCTTCTTTGGAGAAAAAGATGATGCTTGGAGGGAAGTCAGTGAACTTCGGTCAATTCCCATGGCAACCAGAGCCTTCCAAAGTGGACAAAAGCAATTAATGAACAGATCACACCTTTCCATAAAATACCACAGTTGGTCTAAACCTTAGTGAGCACACCCTCCCTTCTCATGGTAGTAATAAACTACTTAATTTGCTTATCACCTAATTAGAATAAGCTACCTCTCTCATGATTTCTCTGGGAAATAGGTCCTGCCTTTGCACAAAGATTGCCAATGTCAAAGGTAGAGTTCAGTCATACTTCTGTATTACTAATCCTTATCCCTTAGTGTGGGCTTGGAGCTCAACAAATATGATGAGAAATTTCAAGAAGGGAGAAATAATGTACCTATTGTCCCAGAACCCCTCCCATTCCCAAGAAAAGTCCCTGAACAAAACCTCTCCAAATTTCCATCAAAAAAAGCTAAAGCAGAACTTGGATTTACACATACGTAAGTTGAATCCTCTAGTCAGTAATATGGGACATGTTTAGGGGATGCAGGACTCAGGAAGGCAGTGAGCATCAAGACTAACATCCCCTGGTCAAGAGTGGACAACACAGGGATACAGCAAACTGTCAGTCTGCAAATAGCTTACATTTTCAGAAAAGCACCAGGAGAGAAAGTGCAAAGAGCAGCCTCAGGAAGCTCTCAGCCTCAGCTCACAGTGTCTCCAGGAACCCTCGGACCCTGTATGCTGGCCCACTCCTAACGCCACACATCCCTACCTCCTTCTCCTCCTGTATCAGCTTCTGGGCTTCCTGAAACATCTTTTCTTTGGCCTCTGTCTCTGCAGCTACATTCCTGTTCTGCTCCTCATAAGCCATGGTGACGACCGCCAGGGTTAAGTTAATCAAGTAGAAGGAGCCCAAGAAGATGACCACCACAAAAAAGAAGACTGAGAAGGGCCCAGCAGTACGCAAGGTCTGCAAAGGACAGAGCACACTGTTGCATTTGAAGCCTCTTTCACAGTGCAGTGACTGTCACATCAAGCAAGACAATAAACTACGACTGACAATTAGCCTTTGCCCAGCGCTGGACAGCTGAGCTAGGGGGCAATCCCTGGCCACCCAAGAGGTCCTGAGCCCCTGTCTTGCAGTGGGCAGACTCCATCTGTAACTGCATGTGGGAGTCTTTACTTTCTCAACATTGTTTGTAAAATAAGAACGGCAAGAGTGCTGAACTTCAGAGAGGTAATACTTGTAGAAATGTTTTCTTATAGTCTTTTCCCAAAGATCACATCTATAATTTTCTTGCAATTTCTAACAGAATTTCTAGAGCAAAATTTAACAGTACAGTTGTTTAAAAGAACTGATTACAAAAGCTGGAGGTAGAGGGTAGGTTCTTAATAAAGAGGGGAAGGAGAGCGAAAGGAGAAAGGAGAGAGACTATAAAGAGGTGACCTGTTGATAAAGCTTCTCCCAGGAGTCTTGAGTCATAAGCCGGAACATGGCAAGAAAAGACCAACCAAAGTTATCAAAGTTTGTATAATTATTGTCAGGATTAACACCAGTTGGTAAGCATTCAGAATTTGAGGGACACCTAGATGTTGGAAACAAAGGAACAGAGAAAGAATTACAGCCCAGCTTTCCTCTCTGTACCCCCGCCTGCCCGGCCCATGACAGTATTTCAGAGGCCTTGGCCCGCCTGAAAACCCTGGGGAAAGGCAGTGTTCAGAGTGGCCCTCCATCGGAGCCTCCAAGACTTCCGGAGGGGACACTTGCTCAATAAACTTCTATAAGCAAACATTTTGCTGAAAAATTAAGTGCAATGGCACAATAAAGAACAGTTGCACAATGAACACTCAGTCTCTCTCCAGTCCCTCACTTCCTGGAGACAGTGAACTTCGTTTCCTATGAAATCAAACACACACAAACACACAGTTACATGCAGTCCACTCCTGAGCTTTCAACTGTATCTAGCTGAGACTGATGTGAACTTAGAGAGGAGGAGACTCTACAGACCAGCTGGTAAGTGAGGCTGTTTCTTTTTGTGGTTTAGGCAAGGAAAAAAAGACCCAACATGGATTCTGCATGTAGTAACATCAGGCAAGAAACCAAAGCACTGCATGTGGCAGCTGCGGGCCCTCATGAAGGGAAGGTGAACACGCTGTGAGTGTAGTGAGTACTCTCAAGGAAGACTGTTCTAGAGAGCTCAGTGAGTCTTAGATTGGACCAAAGACTCTTGCATCTTGTAAATTCAGTAGTGGTTCTCCAGATGGGTCATACCCATTGCAACTCTCAGCAGCTGCACATCGCCCAGACAACATGCCGCACATCTTGTAAAATGTACTTTATGTCAATTTCAAAAGAATGGCGCTATCTTGTTTATAATTGCTCTCCTTGGACCTAACTCAAGAGTCTTGCACACTATCGGCCCTTGATATCTATTTGATACAGGGTAGTGAATACAATCAGCCTCATCAGATTGCCTTACATAATATGTTAATGCTCAATGAACCTTCACTGAATTGAATTTCTCACCTCAGGGAACACTGATATCTTTGAAGGAGGAAGGGTAAACTGATAGGCCCAGCAGGCTACCAGCTGTTGGGCATGTGTGTGTATGAATCTACATCACACAGCTCTGTTTGCAGTTAGAGGCCAGGGTGGTTACTGGATAAACGAAGACAAGAGATTGCTCAAAGAATTTCACCACGCAAGGTCACCAAACAAGCAACTGGAGACTCAGTGTGCTCTTAGTCATGACATCATTTATCAACTTTGAAAGTTAGATGTCCATTCCACAAAGTTGAACTATCACTGTTTTCACTAGACTTCTTATCAGCTATCAATTCAACATGAGTAAAATGGAACGCTGCTCTGGAAACCTGGAAATAATTTTTATTGAATAATCTAAACTTGTTTAAGCCAGCTGCAGCAGCCTGTGTCTATAATACCCAGTAGGCTGAAGCAGGAGGATCATGAGTTCAAAGCTAGCCTGGGCAGTTTAGCAAGACCTGTCTAAACAAACAAACAAAAACAAACAAACTTGCAGAGATATAGAAATAATCAGTACTGTTTGAGAGCTCTCATCTCTGGCTTTACTATGCATTACATGAAGATCATTTTCCACATTAGAGCAAAAGTTAGACTGAAGTGCATGGCTGGGAGAAAACAGAGCGTAAGTCCCTTACCTGTCGACTTGCCAAGTGCCACACATTTTGGGTCTGAGGGAGTTATCTTCTGTTACAAAGCAAGATTCTGAGAGAAAGAAGAGTCATAAATTCAGATTTTTTAAAAACTTAAAGGGAAAGAGTAGCAATTATGCTTGATTATTCTTGAAAACAGGGACCTGGATCCCCTTCTGAGCATGTCCAACCCATGGCCTGCTGTCATGGTTTATGTCTGTGTCCCCCAGGCCTCATGAGTTTGCATTGTGCATTTGTGATTGGTTCATTGTCTAGTGCTTGGATTGATGGTATCAGTGCTCCACCTACATAGGGGTGGAGCCAGGATGTGATGTAATGGCAGGAGAAGGTGTGTCTTGCTCTTTGCTGGTTCCTGCTTGCTGTTTGCGGATGCCTGCCTGCCTTGGAGCCAACTGAGTGTGGACTGAAACCTCCAAAAACTGTAAGAAATAAACCTTTCCTTTCCCAACTTGAGCTTCAGGTATTTTGTCTCAGCAAGGAGTAAAAAGTAACTAAGACACCTGCCTTCTGGCCTTTGTTTCTTTTAATGTTGTAACAAAAATATTTTTAAAGTAAGTTTTGTTACTTATATATATTATCTATGTTATACATTTTATATGCAGCCTAAGACCATTCCTCTTCATTCAAAAATATAAGGGCAAAAATGGGTCACAGAGGGGCCAGGGGTCTAGCTCAGCGGTGTACGCGCCTGCCTGGCAAGCACGGTCATGAGTTGAAACCCAGTACCAAAAAAAAAAAAAAAAAAAAAAAAAAAAAAAAAAAAAGGGTCATGGGTTGGACATACCTGTAAACTAATCAAAGTTGGTGTCTGCAGAGAAACTGAGGCCTAAACCCTCAGGAAGAGAAATGGAGGGAATGAGAGAGGGAGGGGAAACGGGAGGAGGAGGAATGACATCACCATTCACCTCTGGGGCACAGCCTACATAAGCAGAGGTCACTCCAGGAGGAGCCAGATGCAGGTCCAGTCCAGGACATATGTGGAGAGAGTATAACAGTCCCATGAGGAGACATAAGAGGGTGCGGGGTTGATCATAGTGTGCAGAGGGGGACAGAAAGGAGTCCTGTCACTGCAGAAAATGCTTGAGAAGGGGCCATGGAAGTTGGTGGTTTCCTCTGGCCAAACTGAGCATTCTGGGCACTTCTGCAAACCATGATGAAGAAGCAGGCTAAGATGTGAACGGCAGAGGCTGGGAGCAGACACCGCTCAGGCGAATGTGGCTTCAGGCCTTTTCTTCTCCAGAGAAATCCAAACACAGGGCAATTCTCCAGGAAATGTGACTGCTCACACAAGACCGATGAGTGGGTAAGGCTCTCCCTTGCTCTCAGACCCAGACATGCAGGTGGTATGTGTGGGGATAACTGAAAGTGACCATGCACAAAACAAGGAATGGCATATTTACCATTTGTCTCATGAGTCCTGTTACAGCCTTCCTTGACACATTTCTGGCTCAGAACGCCCTGGAAAAGCTGCTGACCTACCAGGGCGAAGATGCAGAGGCAGAAGAGGGTGAGGACCATCACGTCAACAAGCTTCTTCACGGAGCGCAGTAAGGCCCCCACGATGACCTTCAGACCTGAGGAGAAGAACAGGTGTGGGGAGAGCAGCCCTGCCGGGCCCAGCCCAGGAACGGCCAGGGCAAGGAGCCACAGAGATTGTCAGACTTCAGGCTGGAGCTGGGAACCAGCTTGGCCTAAGGGTCTCACCTTAGAGGCTGTGCGTCATCAGAGCAGTAAGACCCTCTGTTCTATGCCTTCACTGTTGCCAATCCTGCTCAAGGCCTCTCTGAAGAGCAAGTGAGGAGACTGAGAAGAACCATGTCAGGTGGACATGGGCATCACTTGATGACAGTTGTGAAGGCATCCCACAGTTGAGGGTCACAGCAGGATCACAGAATGACGTAGGCCTGTAGTCAGCATTCTGTAGTCCCTACCTACTATTGAGGTATATGAGGTACCACAAAACATTCCCCCAGTAAAGCTTTGTCTGTGCAAGACTGTGTGCGTTTGCAACATCTCCACCATCTCCATGCCGAAGGTCCCATCACCCGAGTCGGAATGACTCTAAGTGACACAATTTCAATTGATTCATATAGATCACAAATGGGAAACCTGAAGGCAGGGAGGTGAGAGTACAAGGCATATCCAGTGGAGGCCAAGATCACAGCTGGGAAAGCTCCTGCGGAGTGATCTCAAGTGGGGAGAGGGGCCTTGATGCCACACCGGGGCCTCGCTTCACCTGCCGGAGGGGCTGGCCTCAGCCAAGCCAGCTTTTAATCTGTAACAAGAGGTCTGAGTCTTCTCCAATGCAGATGTAGACAAAATATAGTTGTTATTTTGGAATAATTTTCATGGTGTCTCACTCACAGAAGGCTATACCTCTACCTTCACCCCAAAAAGCAAGGATCTTACTGTGTCCGTGGACCCAAAAGGAAACCATTCGTCTTAGGAGGAGGGACAAATCCCACATGAAGGTCCTCTGGCTGCCAGTTTCTTCATCATTGTGGCGTTGCCTTCAGGAATCTCTACCCCCTCAAAAAAAATAACCCCTCTGCCCATTTCTAGAGAATTTAAACTGCTTAGAGTGCAGGTTTTGGGGAGGTATGATGTATCCCAAGTCTATGTAATCAGTAGAACCAAATAGTTTCCACATGCGTACATAGTTGGCCAAAGCTACTGGAAGAATAAAGGGAAGGTGAGAAAGGGAAAGGACTTCAGAGACAGGAGATTTTTAAATAAAATGGGATTTTTTCCAAATAAGAGAGAAAAAAGGGGAAAGAGGAGGTTATGCCAAACTAATATCAGGCTTTAATAAACCAGGATTTGTACTCACAAACCCGCCCTTGGCTTCATCCTAATTCCCAAGGGGTAAAGCACCTGTGCCCCTGGCTTCCGGGGGACATCTGTGATCTCCTTCCCACTTCACTGGTGGCTCTTGCTCAGTGCCTGGGCTGGTTCCTCCTCCCTTCCCCTTCCTGTAGTGCTGCAGTGCTTGGAGCTCAGTCCGTGGACTCCATCTGTGCTCCCTCCCTTGGTGATTTGATCGGATTTCATAGCTTCACGTATCATCTATAGGCCCAAGATATCTATCTCTAGCTCAGGCTGTCCTAGATATTCTCAACTCATTGATTCTTCTACCTGAATGTCCCAGAGTCATCCTATGCATAACATGTTCAAAACCAGCGCCTAATCAGACTCAGAACTGGTCCTCTCACAGCCTTCCCGCTCTCAGTCAACAACCCCATCTATAAAGACACTCGAGCCGAAAACCCTGATGTCATCCTGGACTCTTCTCCTTTAGCACCCCATAAATAACATGGGTCAATCGTTATTTGTACATTCAAATGTACAGACTCTGACTACTGCCCATCCACTCTGTGACTATCAGCTGACGGACTGCACCACCATCCCTTGCTTGGATTGCGGTCTCTTAAGTCTCTTTGGGTGCTGAGAAGCAGTTCTGGGAGCAGATGTATAAGGGATCTGTTGGAGAAAATGCCTGTCATAGGTGGTAGGGAGCAGGAGTTGGCAGGAAGGAGCTTCAGACTTTCATGCAGCTTGACATCGACGGAAAAGGAGAAGAGAGCAAGCGAGATGGGATAGGAAGCAACAACGGAGCTGTGAGAGCCTCAGCCAGGGTACCAGGATCCCTGAGCCAGAGCTGCCCACCAGAGGAGTCCCCGGTCCTCCAGGAACAGGCGAGCACTAGCAACTGGGCCGTGTAGGGAAGGCAGGACTTTGGCATGAGATGAATGCAGAGGGTGACCCCGAGGGTGACAGCGGCGACCACCCATTATCTGTGCCCCCTGAGGCAGTGCAGAAGAGCACTTCCATGGCCTCCCTCCAGGCTGCCTGCTCTGTGGGCTTCCTCACATTCCATTCTCACATTTGTCCGGAGGGAAGCTTTCTGGATCCCCATGTCTCCGGTCTCCCCTCATTTCCGTGATTCCCCTCCTCACTCCTCCGGCCCCATCTACAACCTCACGCTCGCTCAATCTCTGCACTATTTCCCATCATTAGAACACGCTTTCCCATACACCTGCTCATGTGTCATCACCTTCAAACCTCTGCTACTTCTCACCTCAGTGACCCTGACCCTGACCACTCTGTCTAAAACCACAGCCTGCTTCCCTACCCCACTGCAACTTCCTACAGCTTTCACACGGTCTGCGTTTCTTTTGCTTTTTCCCGGCATATGGAAGGTCCTAGTATGCTAAGATCTACTCCCTTATTTATGTCGCTATCCCCCTGTCCGACCTTACAGCAGACACTCTAGGAGGGTAGCAGTCTTTTCATCCCATAGATAAATCCAAACAGCTAACACAGTGCTTGGACATATCAGGTGCTCAATAATTATTGGCTGGACAATCAAATAAATGGGTAAAGCAGGGGCTATTTGGCTTTTGGTTTACACGATGATATTTTTAAAAAGTTAAGTGTAAAAGAGCATTCCCTCCACATGACAGCCAGTGTTAAAAGTTAGATTGACTTACCGGAAACTACTGAAATTGCTTTCAGAGCTCTAAATACTCGAAAGGTACGCAGAGACAATAGTTTGATTTGGGAACCTGGAACTAAATCTGCAATCCTACAAGACAGAACAAAAAGAAAGGCTTGAGTTAGTCGTGTTGCTGACTTCCTGTTTCCACAACAGCCAGAGCAGGTGCAGCCTGGTGCCTGTGCCTGTGCCTGCCAAGGTGAAGCACGCAGCCCCACCTTGCTCTCAGAACCTGGCAACATCACATTCATTGCTAGGGACCATGGACATATATATGGATGCAAGTGAGAATTCCTTGAAATTGTCCATGAAGCTGTGCCTACATCCATAAATAATGGAAACCCTTACATTCACTGGTTGCCAATTTCCAGACCTAGTACACTTTGCTAAGGTCTCACATCTAGAGCTGACATGAACCCAGGTGGTCTGGCTCTCAAATCCACACTCTCACACCATCTTTCAATGAGTAAGACCATGTAAATGTGAAACTTCAAACATAAAATGCTGAAATTGTAGCACCAACATGTAAGACCTTTTGTGAATATTAAGTAGGTGAATACTGTATGTGCAAAGTACCAAACATGATTCCTGGCACACATACGTTGTAAGTTAATTATTAGTGTGCTGGTAATGAGTCGTTACTTTTTTTTTTTTAGTTTTTCCTTCATTTCATCATTTAAGTGTCAAATCAGTGTCCTATCCTATAAGAAGAACATCAACTTCCACTTAATACCACACACAGTTAACTCAAAAGAGGCATGAATGCAAACACAAAAACCAAAACCATAAAACATTTGGGAAGCTCTGTGTACTCAAAGTAGTTGAAGATTTTTTTTTTAAGTCCTTAGTTCTTCCCGCAGGCTCTGACAGCCTTCTCCACGCACAGCGTCTATCCTGGTACTCCCTGTGTCACATCGTGACGGTCAGCATCACATTCCCCTCTGTGCTGTGAGTTTCATGAGGCTGAGAGCTCTTGCTTGTTTTCTTCTTTTCTTTCAAGCCCTGTGTCCAGCACAGAGCACAGACACGGTGTTGATGGGGGAATGACTAAAGAAATGAGACAGTGAGCGCTGGACACAAATAGATTTGTGCCTGGAGGCCTCTGGCAACACAGTGCTGTCCAGGGCCAGTCAGCAAGACACTCAGAGCTCTAGGCATTATTATGTCACCTCAGCCACTCATGTACATCCAAAGGGGGTGACGGAAGCAGAGGGACTTCTTTCCCACCACAGGTCTCTCCAATAAAAATCTTTAACATTCTTACGCGGTTCCAATGACAATGGAGTCGAGCCAGTTCCATGGATCTCGAAGGAAAGAAAATTCATCCAGGATAAAGCCTCTTGCACATATTTTTATCAGAGCTTCCAGAATATAAATTGCAGTGAAGGTATATCTACAAGACAAACCATTCAGGACAAGAAGGAACATGATAAGTGGTGAGAAAAGCGAAGATCCCCCTGCCTCATCTGGCCGTGATATTTTACTACATTTCAGTGTGATATTTAACATTATGGTCTTCAACAATCAGAGCTGAGCAAGGTGAGCTCCTCGAGTAAATTCTGCTATTTTGAATCTCCAAGAAACAGGACAATCGATAAAGCTATAAAGAAAACATTTGCAAATAAAACTTTTCAGTGCCACGTTCTTAAAAATGGTTCCTGACAACACAGGGCCAGAGACAGGGAGGGGTAGTTTGTCATCACCACTCTAGAGCTGTCACTCTGATGTGCAGAAGTAGGTAACAGTGAGGGGACAATGAAGAGATCAAATAACGGAGGAAAAACTGGGTCTTTCCATATTCTATATTCATGCATTGGAAGATTAAATATTTTTACATTGTCATACTACCCAAAGTGATCTGAAGATTCAGTGCACTCTTCATCAAAACTCCAATGGCATTGTTTTCAGAAATATAAAAATCTGATCTATGATTCATATGGAATTTCAAAAAACCCTGAATAGCCAAAGTAATCTTTAAAAAGCAGATCAAAGTTGAAAGCCTCACACTTCTGAAAATTTTGTCACAAGGTCAACACTGAAACTAAGCATTGAATTTGTGACCAGAATTGTAGAAGGAATTAAGTTTGTGAAGTACTACTGTATTATAAAGATGCAGCAATCAAAACAGTGTGACACTGACACAAATCCAGACATATGGATCAATGGAATAGAACAGATAGCAAAGAAATAAACTTTAACAAATATGGTCCAATGATTTTCAGTAAGTGTGCCAAGACTACTCAGTGGAATAAAGAAGAGTCAATGAATAATAAACAGTGTTGGAAGATCCAGAGATCCACATGAAAAGAATTAAGTTAGACCTTTGTTTATATCATATTCAAAATTAACTAAGTATACATTCAACACCTAAATGTAAAATGGGAAAAAATAAAACTCATGTAAGAAAATATTTCCAAATAATGTAGCTGGCCACATGCTATTATCAAGAATACATAAAGAATTCCTACAACTCAAACAAACAAACAAATAACCTAGAAAACGATGGCCCCAGAGCCTGGCTCCTCTCATTGCAGCTACCAGGATCTAGGTGATAAACAGTGTGGAAAGGCACAGAGACAGCGAAACATCAACCACATGGCAGGGCCTCCAGCTGGGCGCCAGGATGCACAGGCAGGACTGGCGGCGTGAAACTGTCAGAAGCAGCAGTTAACAACTAGAGCCAACAGGTGGGACCCGCACACAGCGTGGGAAGGAGCCAGGACTCAGTAACTCAATGTGTTTTCTCTTCTTTGTCTTCTCTTTCTTTCTTTCTTTTTTTTTTTTTTTGTTCTTCTTTCTTTTTTCCCCTTATCTTTCTTTCTTTTTTATCTATTTTCTAAACAGCTGGGGAGAACTCCAGCCCCAAACCAGAAAACAAATTCAGATAATCGCTCGAATACTCCTTTATTTTTTCTTTTCTAACCCCTTCTCTAGTTTGCCAAACCTTGAATAACCACGCTTAGTTCTCCAGCCTTAAGTCTCCTTTTTTCCAGTAATCTTTGTTTTACATGCTGTCCTCCCTAAATTTCCACATCACAGGGTAAAACCACTCTACGAAGGGGAAACACTTTGCATACAAACCGCTCATTTATACTCGGTTTTACTCTATAACTGAGAGCTGTTCCAATGTCTAAAGCATGAATCAACAGTGTTTCATCTTATAAACTGTGCTTCATGCTTTTGTTATTGCCAACTTTACATCTTAGCTAAGATGTCATATCTGTTGTAATCAGTTACTTGTCCTCCTACAACAACACTGGGAAGCTCTATAGTAATAACCTTACCACTGCCCTGCAGGTTGCAGGTTGCAGCTAGTGATAATGAAGGACAGATCTCTTGAAAATACCAAAAGATCAGGAAGTAACAATTGAACAGGTAAAGGACTGGGGACTCAGGCAGAAAGATACCAACATCCAACTCTTGATTAATTGGGAAGGTAAGATCTTGGGACAGACACAAACCAAGAATTTCCTAAACAAAGAAGACATTCCTGAAGAACAGACTTTTCCTAGACAGGCCCCGATACCAGTGATATAGCTACCTACTACAAAAACTCACAAGAATCATTACAGAAAACAAAATAAAATTTTTTTTGAAATATAAAATAATATGAAAAACCAAAATGCAATCTCAGACCTCTAGCCCATTCAGAATAAGTCCAGGAGACATTAACATACAAGAAATTGGAAGAAACAACTTTGAAATATCTGAAATGATAGCAACTGAAGTAAACAAACAAATCCATGAGGCTATAGAGGAAATCAGGTCAGAAAAACTTTTCAGGTTAAAAAAAAAAAGAAATGCCAACATTATAAAGGAATTGCTCAGCAAATCTAGAGTATAGTTAGATTTTAAAAAGATGATGATAGAAAGGGGATGGAAACTGAATTTTCAATATAGGAAAGAAATATAATGCATGAACTGATTCAAACAGAGATCTGGGAAATAAAAAATTCCACTGAAAGCTGGAAAAACTGCTTAAATGAAACTGAAGACAGACATCCAGGCCTTGGAGACAGGTTGCAGCTAGTGATAATGAAGGACAGATCTCTTGAAAATACCAAAAGGTCAGGAAGTAACAATTGAACAGGTAAAAGATAAGACAAATAAAAATAAGGACAATTGATATCAATGAAAAAGCAGGAGCCAATACAAATGACATTTTTTTTGTAATTGGTACCGGGGATCAAACTCATGACCAGACATTTGTAAGGCAGGTGCTTATTCCGAAGAGCTAAATCCCCAGCCCACAAATGACATTTAAAAACATTTTGTGGAAGTAATAGCAGACAATTTCCCAAACATCAGAAAAGAAACTAATGTACAAATAAGTGATACACATAGAACTCCAATTAACCATAATCAAAATAAATCTACACCAAGAAGTTTAATAATCAAGATCCCAGAAATTCAGCACAATTATAAATTGTCAGAGAAAAGAAACAGATCACCTACAAACGAAAGCACATCAGATTCATGACAGACTTCTCAATGCAAACTCTCAAATCAAGATGAACTTGGAGTGAAACATTTCAAGTCCTGAAAGAAAACAACTTCCAACCCAGATTGATCTACCCTGCAAAACTATCTTCCAAAATTAATGGAGAAATAAAATACTTCTGTGACAAGTAACAACTGAAGAAATTTATCACCACCAAACCAGTGTTGTAAAGGGTACTGACAGTTATTCTAGACAAAAAAAAGATGAACACAATTCTAAGAACAGCAACAGAAACAAACCACCAAACAGGGCATGCAATTCAACAGAGAGGTTAGGGTCCAACAGCAGGAAAATAACATGACAGATCTAGTGAAAACATTCCTAAAATTCATTTGGAAACAGAAGACACCCAGAATAGCAAAAGCAGTCCTGGGCAACAAAGGTAAGGCAGGTAGCCTCACAATCCCTGATTTGAAATTATACAAAGCTGTGATAAAATCACCATGGTCCCAGCAAACACACACACACACATACACACTTGCAGATC